GCCTCATGAAACTTCCTACCCCGCCCATGTCATCCCGGTAGTCGCTATGTTTGTCCCGTCCGAAGCAGTCCACATTTGGATTGAATACGTCGTATATCGTGGGCAGTCGGTGCAGATATTGACATTCGTGACCCTTCGGACACAGTCCTCTCGCGAAGAACAGGCAGAAATAACTCCCCGGCGTCCTGTCTGCTGCCGTCCATCCAGAGTCGTTGCGGATATTGCAACGTGAAGGAGCGGCGTGATTGGACAAATACGCGTCCTCCCGATCACCGCCAGACCATTTATTGTACCAGATGTTAAACACCGTCCCAGTTTGCGGAGGAGGCGTGGATTTTATCGTCGAAGGGTCAACCTGGGGCCGCGCAGGGCGGCGCTTGCGGCGGATCAGTTTTGTCTTTTTCGCCGGAGGTTCCTCGTTCCCGGTGAGCGAAGTTTCATTGTTCGCCGTTGTGAGAGCGGTGCTTGTTGGGTCGGTGGCGGGCGCTGCTTCGTCCGGGGACGCCGAACGTTTTCGAGAAGGAGACGGCGATGTCAGCGTCGTACGGGCCTGGACGACTTCAGCCATGGTCTATGACTCCTCAGCAACAGTAAAGATGCCAGGAGTTTGTAGAATGACGACGAGTGCTCGCAAATTTTTTCTTTGGGATCTACCAAGATGAATTTGAAATGCGGAACGAAGCACCTGAAGTAGCACCTGAAGTTGCACGTGAAATTGCACGTGAAATTGTGCTTCACTCTCTGCGTCAGTGATCCACCTTAGAAATCCGCTCTTCTGCGGAGCATTTCGTGTCCCAAGCGCGCTTATCATAGTTGAATTTTCGAAAATCAGAATACTCAGTACATACCCTGTCTGTTAGATCGGCCGGTCCTCTTTCACGCTCAATTCTCGCCCTTCGACATCCCCATGCTGTCGCTCTAAACGAGGCTCAGTGCTAGTCCTCAGGCGACTTTTCAGGTACGGCGAGTCGACTACACCTAGCCTTGTGGTTATGGGGAGGAAGGCAGTCGCGGCGGTCATTTCGTCCGTGAAAGAGTCCTGCGTCGATCCAATTCTATGTCTCCAGTGTTTGGGCGGTGTTTGAAAATGGCATCCTCTCCCCAGAGAAATCCCTTGGTTATGATCATTGGTGCCACCGGCACCGGCAAGTCAAAGGTGAACCCCTACCCTGGTTAGAAAAGAAAATGGTTGGAGGAAAAGGCTAATCGCTACAGAGATAGTTGGCTGTGGAACTGGCCACTCGATTCAACGGCGAAGTCATCAATTGTGACGCAATGCAAATGTACAAGGGGCTGCCGATCATCACTAACAAGATTCCTGAGGATGAACGAAATGGAATCCCCCATCACCTGCTCGACTTCATCGGTCTGAAAGACAAACTGTGGACTGTGCAGCACTTTGTCAAAGAGAGTTCACGGGTTATCGATGAGATTCGAGCGAGGGGCAGGCTTCCTATTGTTGTGGGCGGGACGATTTACTACACATTTTCCTTGCTCTTCAATGATGCTATTCTTACTCCCGACGGGGACGAGAATCGCTCAGACCACGATGCAATTGACAGAAACGAAGAGTTCCCTATCCTGTCGGCTTCTACAGAGGAGATCTTCGCGAAACTCAAGGAGGTTGACCCCGAGATGGCCAAAAAATGGCATCCCAATGATCGAAACAAGATCAGGCGGTCTCTCCAAATATACCTCCAGAGCGGGAGAACGGCTTCTGACATATATGCTGAACAACGTCAAGCCCATCTCGTCCACGGGAACGGAGATACCACGATTGACACCGATATGGACGAGGATGGTGCCATGAGTGGGCGAAGAATGACTCTGCGTTATCCGAGTCTGCTCTTATGGTTGGAAGCCGACGACGTGGTACTAAAGCAGAGACTAAATGATCGAGTTGATGCCATGATTGCAAACGGTTTATGTGACGAAGTATTGCAAATGGCAAGCCTGGAACAGGAGTTGAAACAAGAAGCAGAGCCAGTCGACCTTGCCAACGGTATTTGGGGATCGATCGGTTACAAAGAAATGAAGCCTTGGCTAGAGGTGCGTCAAGCGTTGAATCCCGATCCTGCCAAAGTAGCGGTGGCAGAGCAGCAGGGTATAGATGCTGTTAAAGCGAGCACTAGACGCTATGCTAAGCGTCAGAACCGATTCGTCCGCATTCGGCTGGCGAAAGCTCTGAAGGCTGCCGGGAGGTTTGATCTGCTTTTCCTTCTCGACTGCACTGATTCAACCAGCTGGGACAGCACAGTGACAGAGCCTACGCAAGCAATCGTGAACCCTTTCCTGAAAGGGCACAAGTTACCCGAAGCCAAATCTCTCTCACTCATGGCGGAGAAAGTACTCTCACAGATCGAGCAGGATGACATGAATGATGTCCGCGAAGCTAGGACTTGCCAGCTGTGCCAAAAGACTCTCATGACTGAGAAAGAATGGAGGGCACATCTTGCGAGTCGCAGCCACAAGAAACTTGTCGTACGGCACCGTAACCGCGTGTCAGTGCCGGCTGCAGCAATCGACGTCATTCAGCACGTACAGCTACCGACTTCCCCGGGCTGATGCTTGATGCAACTCAATTATACTCTCTTGAAGGCACGTGATGGTACAAGGATCAACGCCAGAGGGCCATTCATGGAGGTTCAGACGTCTTGTCTTTGGCCCGTTCACGGAGATCCTGTAAATGCTGCTGGTGGGCTTTCAGGCCATTGATACGCCACTCGACAAAAGCTGGCGACAACATGTCACCGTGGCCTGATTCCTCGAGCTTAAAGACCTCCAGGACGGGGACTTTTTCTCGCTTTCGGATTCGCCAAACGCCGTCAGAAGTTATGACGGTTTTCAGCCCTGTGGCGGAGTTAGCAATATTCGAGCATGTCTTGAGGCTGTGCCTACACTCCAGGAAGCTTGCGGCAAAGTTGATGCAGGTTTGTCCATCCCACAAACCCTTGCCCTTCAATTTGACATTGTCTGGAATATTCTGCACATTCAACTCCTCGAGACGCTCCAACAAACCTTGCTGAGTGCGATAACCGACAATGATCTTCGGTACTCCCAGCAGGAACGACTGTGCCCAGAATTTGAGGAGTTTCCTCTCATATTTGATTTGCTCCCTCTCATTGGTGACCGTCGCTGTCGTTTTCAGCTCCACCCATTCAATCGGCTGCGATTTGTCTTCTGGCTTGAAGGCCATAACAGCGTCTACCTCTCCGCCCAGGATCATCTTTACTTTGCCGAAGCCAGTTCGAACGATTGAGCAATATTGAGCGTGGTTGCTAACCATCATGTCTTCTCGGGACTCGATGTACTCTCGAGACGTCGCGGGCCATGGTGTCGGCATCAAGCACACGGTCTCGAACTTGTATCCCCAGAAACTCATAAGGTCTTGGGACATAGCACCTGGTCGGCCGGCGGATGAATACTGTTCTTCGCGGGAGGAAACTTTCTTGGTGTGATTTTCCTCGATGAAGATGGTGTCTTGGAATAAGGTGACGTTCATTTCCCAATCATCCAACTTGGAGAATGGAACGATCATCAGCTGTCTGGGCCATGAGCGAGTCTTTCGCAGTTATATCAAGCACATCACACCTTGGTCATCATCCCTCGCCATGTCAGGAAATCGATCTCCGTTTTAGACCCCTTCTCTTTCTCATAGGCGATGATAGCCTCCAGGAGGCCATCCAGATGGTCATCCTCAGAGTCATCGAGCTGACGAAATGTCTCGAACCCTTTGTTGAGGTTGCAAGGGAGTGCAGGCGGGTAGTAGTAGCGCAGGCTTGAGGCATCCAGTCGGAATTTGTGGTCTTCATCGAAAGAAAAGAATGCGATTTCCTAACTCGCTCAGCACATGCTGCGCACCGGTGATGCGATTATAGGTTCGGAGAGACGTACCCGTGGTCTTCTAATGGCCGCACTCAGGCCCGCGAAGCGAGACACCGGCTCAAGATTAAAGTTGTGTTTTTGAGCCATTATGGCGCATCAGTTGTAACAGAAGGCTCTTTTGCATTCATGTCTGCCGGCATTGTGTCTCCTGAAAGATGCGGCATGGAGGTAGAGATATACCACAGCCACTGTGGTTTCGAGGGTGCAAGTGCGACGTAGACCATCGTGGACGGAAATCCCGAGACCACGTGAGAGCGCGATCCAAGTCGCGTCGCGTGGTGGACTTTACGTCATCTGTTGACGAGGACGGTGCCAACATCCATCAGGGTTAAAAAGGTGACCTCCAAAAAGGTGACCTCTGGAGCTACTGGAAGCCGTGACGAAACGCAACGAGTTGAATGATTGTTTCTTGCTTCCGTCATCCATTCTCCTCCGCTTTCCCGTCTTGTGGTTCCGTCAAATCTACCTCTTCTGGCAGAATATGGCAGGCAAGGAACGGGCATTGAGCCAAACTGATGGCAACGTCGCCAAATCACAGCCACTCTCCAAGCGACAGTCGCAGCCATCAGAAGCAGGGAAAGGAAATGCTACCTGTGACTATACAGGTCTAAAAAAAGTCTGACCTTGCCACGCTGCTTCAGCAACGCAACTTGCCGTACAGCGGCAATAAAGACGTGCTTATCCGTCGACTCGAGGACTCTGATAGGGACCACTCTTCGGCGCGTAATTCGGGGCATGAACTGGGAAGGTATGCCTTCAACCTTTAAGCAAGGAGAACTAAAGTGCTATGTTAACTCATAGGATCACGCTACTGCACAAACTGCTGCGCCCGAGTTCAATGACCTGACACTCTGTAGACCGTTGGAGGATGTCAAGGCGGAGAAACAGGCAAATGGTTTGGAATACGATCCGTCTGAAGAGTATAAGGAGGAAGATGAAGAAGCTGCAACTGGAGGCACAAGCATGGCCGGTCAACGAAAATTAATCTGTGGCAAAAAGGAAAGCATCTGCAAGCTTCCGGCTCTGAGCATCTAGAGCATAGCTGGATCCTTACAACGGAAGGATATCAGTTGGTGGCTCGCTTGCAATGGGAGATAGAGATTCGGGACTAGGACATGTTTGGGGAGCACTTCTTTAGTGATTTCAATGGCTATGGTTTTCAAGAAGTGATGGAGAACCAGGTAAGTTCACGGTTAAGCCCCTGCTCGTTACGCCCTTTCTAAGCTATAAATAGCTAGCTTCTATCGTTCAACCGCGAATTCTCCAAGGGATCTACCCGCGAAAAGGTCCATCGCCAGCAGGATTATGATCAATTGTTGAAGAATTTGCCTGGCCTCTCAACTATCAAGGCTTCTGGTTCAATATCGACGACCCAGACACGGTGCTGGCGACTCTCAAGCTCATAGGCCGGGCAGTATTCACCACTCTGAACATCTTGGACGAGATTGGATTGCTTCGCCCCGACACACTGGTGAAAATTATTGCGCTCGTGTTGGGCGTTCTGTACGACAATACTCAGATGAAGAGGGCGAGTTGGAATGGCGAGAAGCCATGGTTAAAGAAGTCTTGCAACCTGGCATTGAGTTCAAAGGGGCGCCTTATGGCATCGAGAGATTGTTCGAGACAGATGGACAGGATAGGTCACAGCTGGACAAACCAGATTACGCGTGGAAAAAGTGGAAAAAGTTTGATTGGCCCACAGAGGTGAGTCTGGCATTATCTACACGCACAAGAGTCGGCTACTGACGTTGCCAAAGTTTAGGTCTTTTTTCAAGAGATTCCAGAAAGGGCCGACAATAGGTGGCTGACAATTCGCCCTGGAGTCAAAATCCGACCTGGCAAGGATGCGCAAAACTTGGGGTTCGATATGGGGTGTCTGAACCTTCGCCGAAGGCCAGTTGGGATAGTGTTGGGATAGTGTAACATTGTGATGAGAGAATATATATTCTTCGCTTTAGGGTGGAAATCTACTGTTCATCACCTACTCTTCTGGTTTTCCCCTCCCTTCACAAGAAAAAAGGACATGTTACCACAGAAAGTCTTCTTCCTTAACTCACGCCTCTCGAGGAGAACTACGTTTACCTCTTTGAGCTTGCAGATGACTGTACCCAGAAACTAAACTCTGAATCTAACTTTGACGTTGAGGTTGGACTGGAACATTAACCACCGACTCGTGGTCTTCCATTCACTGAGCATATCGAAATCAAGGTGGCGGACAAGCTGAGGGACAAATTTCGATATCTCCATCAACGCAACGTTCAGGCCTTGACAAGCTCGAGGACCGACTCCAAACTTGTCCGTACTGTCAGCACCTGTCGTCGTCCGTATGAAGACCTCTGGAACTTACGGGGATGTAGTAACGACTCATGGCTGTGGTATCTCCCTCGAGCCAGCGCTCTGGGCGGAAGGCGTCTGGGTCAGGCCCAAATACGTCCTTGTTGCAGTGGGCGACCCAGTTGTTGATGCCGACAACAGCTCCTTCAGGGAAGTACGTTCCAGAGATCATCGCCCCGCCCCTTGGGACAACACGGAACAAGGGCAACCTGAAAATGTGGTAAGTGAAGCCGAATGGATAATCAAACCCCCTTCCTACTCAGTGCCAGGGTACATCCTCTGGCCTTCTTTTATCACCACCTGACAGTAGGGCATTCGCTGGGACTCGTAGAAAGAGACAGGATTCGAAATTGACCCTGTGTTGGCCAGCTCATCGATCTCTCTGCGCAGCTTGTCAAGACATCTTCGATTCTTCCGCAGATAATAAATGATAGCGGTGAGAGTGATCCATGTTGTGTCAGCGCCAGCCACAATGTTACCAAAGGCTCTAATGAGAACATCCCAGTCCGTGAAAGTGGTGGGATCACTCCGCTGACCGGCTATGAACTGAGCAAGCATGTCCTTCTTATCCGGCTTTTCTTCTTCCATTCTCTCTGCGATACGCTCCGTGGTATAGGCGATGGTATAGTCTACTTTACCAGTGGCTGTGCCGGCGAGCCAGTTGACGATTTTGAACAAGGTTGGATGCAGTTCTGGATATACGCACGCAAAAGCGGCATAGGGCATTCGTTGACGAAGGCTCTCACAGATGCCTCCGATATCTTCACCATTGTCAAGAAACCCAAAGCGTTGAGAAAACGTGTCGCCAGTTAGCACAACCGCTGTTGCGAATGCTGGAAGGAGCAGACGATTATGTGGCCTTGACAATCAAATGCCCAACAGGTAAACCAGTGAGTCAGGTCAACAGTCTCGCCTGGCCCAGCGAAGTCCTTGAGCTTCTCAATCAAGAGCTCTCCGTATTCATCGATCAACAGCTCGAAAGTCAATATGGAAGACATGGAGAAAGCTTGTGCGTAATTGCGACGATATCGAGCAGCATCCCTGTTATCTGAGGTGCTGAAGGTGGTCGAAGTGCCGAGAGGGCAAGAGTGCTCATATCACCTCAACTTCATCCACGGACTTGAGATGGTGTAAATGGTCTAGATGGCCTCGGGGTCATCATCTCGAGGCGGACAATTTTGCCTGGAACAAATTGCAGTAGAGGAATTTGTCGAGGCCTGTGTTTCGCTGCTCACCATATTCTCTGGGCAAGTCGATGTTGACCTGCTCAAAATCACCTCTGATGAGAGCTCTCAGGTACCAAATGCAGGAGAAACGAGCGAGGAGTGGCCCAGGCGCAGAAGTTTGCTGGTACCATGCCGAAAGCCGAAGTAGAGCAACCAAACCAAGCCGAGTGCTGACAGGCCAACCAAGACTGATGTTTAGTGCACGTCGACGGTGACTTCAGAAAGAATAGGAAACCTTCTGTCACTTTTGTTTTCCTTTCTTCCCTCTGTTTCTCCCCCGCTGGAGGATCGGGCCATAGGGGACCAATGCGGATGAGGAGACAGGTATTGCCCCGGGGCGATAGGGAGAATTTATGCACAGAAATTGAGACATCTCATTCATGCTGCTGGGTCTTGTCTGCCTTTCCAGCTTCCTCGAGAGTCACCCCAATCCTTCGATCCATGATTGCATTGGGCCGCGTTTCTGTTCGCTGGTGTACCGGAATGCAAGCCCATCGGACACTCCTCACTTGGAAAGCTTTCGGCAGCTGGTTAGGCGCAGCTTATCCGCCGTGGCTGCATTGGCTCTACGCACGTCGTCGAGACCAAACCCTGAGCCGAGGACATCACCTTTGACCCCGCCATGATAGGCGGGTAGGTAGGCCAGGAGAGGGGGAATTCACGATAGGTGTTTTACCCTGCCATGGGCTGCCTCTAAACAAACAATATGGCGGCCACTCGGGAGGCGTCACTCATCTTCCCCGTCTTGCCTGGTGGCAGCCGGACGAAGAGCTAGCGTCGCTCATTCGTTCCTTTGCTCTCTACTTGTGCCAATTATTATTGCAGCCCTTCGCGCCTCGAATCTAAGATTCTTTATTGACGATTTTGGGAACGAGTGGACTTGCGAGCAGACACTTTGACTATTAATATTTGGCATTTTCGGTTCGAGACTAGTTGCGATTCCGCAAGCTTTCAGGGTTTCATTTGGTCTTGCGATGCCCATGCGCAGTCGTAGCATTAGATGTTTTATTCCTGGGTTCCTTCACCAAACATTGGTTGGGCACTGACGAGGTGACGTTCTAGGAACATAAATCCCGGTTGGTGAGTCGAATTCCAGGAATATGATACAAAAATGTATTCTCATGATGGTTCATTGACCAATGCCGCGGCGCTCTTCAAGTTCCACCATCACGAATGTGGCTGCCGGAGCGCTGACAGCTACGATACTGAGCCTAGTCAACCAACTGAGGTTCGCGTCGCCATGCCGGATTCATCCAAGCTAGCTATTCAGCATGTCTGTATTTTGCTTTGATACCACAACCGGGGTTCTTATTCCCTAGAAAATATTTAGATCGAAGCTCATATTATATCATATTCGATATATTAGAGTGAAATGTCTTTTGTATCGAGTGCTCTCGGGTCAACACAACCACGAAGGCTGGCTGACAAGGCTGGCTGACATGAACGAGGCTAGCGTGTTACAAGGCTACCTATTCTACGGTGGATCAACCCTTGGCATCCACGCAAGATAGTTCACGTCCAGACGCTCGCAATCTTCAACCTCAGTTTCGCTGCTCACAACATCTTTGTCCGTTCTTGGGTTCTTGGAAGATATTTTGACCTAGCATCCCGTGGCATTGCGTCCAGCAAAGATGATAAGCCACAACGAGCTCACTGCTTAAGGAGTGGTTCGCAGGACGTGCAGGAGGTTTCAACGAACAGTTTCGCGCAATCCACCCCGTTAGCTCGTATCGCGTCCGTCGAGGATGAGCATGACGCTCCGAAATTCCGCGCTCGTGTTCTCCAACATCGTTCTCATAGCGGCTCTTCTGATTTTTGCAAAGGGATTCTTTCCTCACAAAGCCTTTCTACCAGGATTGGCAACATGGCCTGCCACATCCGAAGCAGAGACTCTGCCATCACCTTTCGATCGTGTCATCTTCATGGTTGTTGATGCCTTACGGAGCGATTTCGTCTACGGAAACGCCTCTCAATTTGTCTTTACTCAAAGCCTGATAAGGTCTGGCGCTGCAGTCCCATTCACCGGTCATGCCAGTCCGCCAACCATCACTATGCCGCGCGTTAAAGCCATCACAACCGGCTCAGTCCCAAGCTTTGTGGATCTCATCCTCAACTTTGCTGAGTCGGACACGACGTCGACCCTCAAGGATCAAGACACATGGCTGGCTCAGTTACGAGCGAAAGGCGGCAAGCTCGTGATGTATGGTGACGATACTTGGCTTCGCCTGTTTCCGGATTTCTTCACTCGAACTGATGGAACGACGAGTTTCTTCGTGTCCGACTTCACCGAAGTCGACAACAATGTCACCAGGCATATCCCCTCTGAATTAACAAACCAGGACTGGTCTGGAATGACACTCCACTTCCTCGGCCTGGACCACATCGGGCACAAAACTGGGCCCAAAGGACCAAGAATGCCAGCAAAGCAGGCCGAGATGGATGGCATCGTCAGGGATATTTATTTAGAAATGGAAAGCAATGACCATCTCAAGTCATGTCTATTAGTACTGCTTGGTGACCATGGTATGAATGAGGGCGGGAACCATGGAGCCTCTTCTCCGGGAGAAGTTTCCACGGCGCTTACGTTCATCTCTCCAAAGTTCAGTTCGGCGTTCGAAGGACAACCTTGCCCCGTCAATGATGCGGCTGACTATCAGTACTACGACACTGTTGAACAATCGGACATTGTTCCCACTCTTGCCGCTCTACTGGGATTTCCCATTCCACTCAACAACCTCGGGGTTATTATCCCGCGATTGTTGGAGCTCTGGACCCATCCGCAAGATCAGTATGCGTTGCTATATGGCAATGCAGAACAGATCCTGCGAATCGCCGAAGCAACATTTCCGAGAGAATTTGGAAAAGTGTCTACATCTACGCAATGCTCAATCACCGATGGAGAAGACGCCGAAATCCTCGCCTGTCTATGGCAGCGTGTCAGAGAGGAGCACCAAGCCATCGCGGCGGACGCGTCACATCCCATTGCGCCGACAACCTTTCTCAAAGCTTTCCTGTACAAAGCGCAAAACCTTCTTAGTGGCACAGCCAGTAATTATGACCTTACAAGCATGCAGGCAGGCATCGGGCTCAGCGTGCTGGCGCTGGCGCTTTGCATGCCTAGTTTTGTACATGGTATCCTCTTGGCAGGCGTAGACGGAGTGATCCTCCTCCTCATCATGATCGCCTATGCCGTCACTATGTTCGCCAGCAGCTACGTCGAAGAAGAGCATCAGTTCTGGTATTGGACTCTTGCTGGCTATATGGTCATTCTACATTGCAAAGACAGCAGATTTAAAACAATCAACGCCAATAGGGGTGCTCGTGATATATTGCAGGGACCGACAAGTACAGTCCTCGCATATTTCCTTTTTGGTGTGGCCAGACGGTGGAGACAGACTGGCCAGAAATACGCAGGCGAGGCCGACTTACTCGCTGAAGTAATCGAGCCCAATTCATGGATCCTGTGGACGCTGGTCATGCTCGCCTACGCCGCACTTTCGCGCAATTTGAGTCATCGAGCAGGGATATGGATGGGTTCACCGCAGATGGGCATATTGCCGGCACTCGTATCCATTTCGGCCTTCCTCTTCAAGATTGCTTTCACCGCAGCCGACGCGCCTGAGCTGCTCACTTCGTTCGCAATCCTCAATCCGCTGGTCGGATTCGTATCAGCGTACCCACTCGTGAGCCTGGCAAGAGTGGTCTTCCTAGGTCTTACCCATTTACTCGCCTGCGCAATATACTACGAAGCGCCCTGGAAAGGCGCAGAGCATCTACGGCGGTTTCTCACAGCATTTCAAGATGTGTTATCTCTGTTCCTCATTACGCAGTCCCGAACGGTGTATGTGCCGCTATTCTTATTCTTCAACCTCCAATTCTACCTTCTCCGTCGGGGGAGACAGCATTCGGTCAGCGAGATTACCATTCTAGCTCTCCTGTTTCAATACGCCTCCTTCTTCACTTTTGGTAGCACCAACTCCATCGCCACCATCGATCTGTCTAATGCATACAACGGTATCAGCGGCTATAATGTAGCTGCTGTTGGGATGCTCACGTTCATAAGTAATTGGGCGGGTCCGATATGGTGGTCCTTTGCAGTTTGCCAGTTGTTCAGTTCTCTTCATCTCAAAAGTGGTACATATTCTTTTCTCTTTACAGTATTGACAACTTTTGCTTGCATTCATACCTTGTCGGTCATGGTGGCTTGCATGGTGCTCAGAGAACACCTCTTTATATGGACTGTCTTCTCCCCGAAGTACCTCTACACAGCGGCTTGGGTCGTGGGCCAGCATTGCTTTGTCAATGCATTGTGCGTCGGTTGCCTGCTTTGGCGAACGCCTGGCCAGTTTTGACAACAATCCCACAGAGCATGGGCGGTGCAGATAGATATAGAATACACAAAGACTTGTCGACCACTTGTCAGGATTTACAGATGGCCATTCAGCTCTTTCGAGACACAGAATCCCTCGAATAATTGACCGATTCCTTGAACATCATCGATGGGAATCACTTTCGACACATCTAGAGGAAACGTGGTCAGCAGGCCGCATCAGGCGCAGCAAGAGGAAGAATGTGTATATAACGTACATTGGTCAGGGCGCACGATCACGGTAGCCCCTTTGTCGGGATGTATGCCATACTTCTCATAAGCATGGCCATGGCCCGAGTTGTAATGCTCATCGTCAACGAATACTTTATGCAAATCTAGTGGCGACAGATAAACAGAGTCAGCACAAAGTAGTGGTGTCGCTCGCCTTTCGGGACATTGCGCTCGCTCCTTACTTACCTCTCATCTTCCACTTTCCAGTAACAGGCCAGAAATAGTCTGGGATTTGCTCCTGCTCGAGGCCCATGCGATTGCCGATGAGGACGACGATAGGCTCAATGAAACTGTCAATGTCTGCCGACACAGGAGTGTATTTTCGCACGGGACCGGCCGCAGATTCCATGTATTTTGCGATCTGGGACAACAAAAAGATTTGGGTCAGTTTCTGTTCTTTCTTTAACGGCAAACAACAACAGCAACATTGGTGGGACGCAAGACAGGACAAACCTGATTCAGCCTCGTCAGCATATTTGGGTCTTCGATCCGGCCTGCGAAGAAGATCACGCGCCACCGACCGTCTGCCTTCAGGGCCCGAGCAAGTTGCATGGCTTTGACATCGCAGAATCGTACGACCTGCGCACTGGGGAACCTCATGCCGACCACAATCTCCTTTGCCAACTCCTGCGTGCTGCCTGCACTGCAAGTCACGCTGGAATCCTCATATTTGGAAGTCAAGCCGGCAGTGTACCGTCCGGACTTGATGAAGCCCTCGCGGAATTCTTCCGGGGTGATTTTCTTCTCGTTGTCGGCCTTGTTGCTGGCAAATAGGTTCATAAAGTACCGGTCAAAGTCGATGAGATCCGCGGCCGTCTTACCGCGCTCGACGCTGTACGTTTTCAACAACTCCGGAGTCGCTTGCCCCGTCAAGACGTGGCCGAGTTTCCAGCCGATGTTGAAGCCGTCTTGCAGACTGACGTTCATTCCCTGTCCGGCCTTTGGGGAGTGCGTGTGGAATGCGTCGCCGGTCAAAAATACCCGGTTGGCTTTGGTAAAGTGATCCGCGAGACGTTGACCGATTGAATAGCACGACCACCAGTACGTGTCTGCGAAGTCCATCTTGTACGGATGGAAGATTTGCTGTGCCTTCTTGTGCAGATCTTCGAGTTTGATATCCTTGACGTTTGTGCCTGTGGGGAATTCGATGTAGAAGCGGGTCAGGGAGCCGCCTTCTCGAGGGATGACGAGGAGGGAACCAGAGTCTGAGTGGACGGTGACTTTGCGACGGATGTCGGGGAAGTTGGTTCGGGGATAGATGTCCATTACCCCCCAGACTGCGTCGGTGGTGTCTCCGACCATCTTGTAGCCCAGCGATTTGCGCACAACGCTGTGTGCACCGTCACAGCCCTGAATTTCAAGACCAGATGTCAGCAAAGAGGACCTTCACAACCCATCATTTCTGGTGAACTGACTTACCAAGACGTACTTGGCCCTGAAAACTTCCTCTTTTCCATCCTCCTCCCGCACCGCAACAACCGTGCACGGATAACTCGCAGCGTGCATCCCAGCCAACTCCTCGTCCAGACTCACGCTCTTCACCGTCCAGCTGTAACTGACTTCCTCACCCCTCCCAGCACCAAGCTTTCTCATCTTCTCCAGCAGCAAGCCATTGACACGTGCCTGGTTGAGGATCAAGTGCGGCATGTGACTGAGGCCCTTGGCCGTGTCGGCCGCGCGATTACTTCGGCGAATCCCGCCGTGGCCGTCGGGGCTCCAGAAGGCGACTTCGAGGACGTGGTAGGCCTCGCGGAGCAGATCCTCAGATAGGTCCAAGGTCTCGAAGATCTCGACAGTGCGGCATTGGATCCCGTCTGCCTGCCCGATGGCCATAGGACCCCCGCGTCGCTCGAGAATCTTGAACCTGATCTGTTGCCGCGGGTGTGTCGTGTTGTAGATGGTCAGCCACAGCGCCGCAGTCAGGCCGGCGCTGCCGGAGCCGACGATCAGAACGTCGAGGAGGTCGGCGTCGGTCATTTTCCAGCGGTGGGAGTGGTAGAGATGCAGGTCGTGGATTGTAGATGTTGGCTGATTGACTCTGGTTCGTCCTGTTATGCAACGAAATGTACTGTAATGCAATGCAGTAGTTGTCAAAGTCCAATGCAATGTTGTGTAGTGCCGTGTATTGGGAATTGGATGGGCGTCAGTCTCGGATCTCCGAATAAATAATAGTCAGGCCTCCGTCGAAAATCTCCATTTACCCTCGGCGGTTTTATATCTCCAGCGCCTTCTTCCAGAGCTCTGATGTAGAGCAGATAGAGCTCCCGATCCGACGGCAAACAGACCTCAAAGATGAAAAACAATGTATGCAGCGGTACTTGAGCGCGGCATTCTTGTTGCACTACAACTCAAACCCGCTGGCAGTCTAGCAGACGAACCTCTTTTTGTGTTTCATCCTTGGTCGATGGAATCGAGATGGCTTACTCTCAACTGCCCACTGGAGCTTAGTAGCGATTTGTTGGTACCAATGCGGGTTTTACCTTTTCCCCCGCTCTTTACGGAGTACTTCGCTCCTGGCTCTCGCGTCTTTCATTGTGGCGAGAATGCTTCCGAGCGCGGGATTGTGTGGCCAATAGACATCAATCCCTTCCCGATGGTGCGAGACCCTCGGAAGGAATTGCTTCCATAGGCTTTCTGCTTCACCTAACACGGACGCATCTACCGTGCAGAGTAGATGATTCCGTACGATAGGGGCCGAGTATGATCGCCGTGTTCTGCACTCAGCGTGTATATCGGGAACGGCGCCCCTCATAATAGTGAAAATGAATAGTTGTCGGATACCAAGATGGCAGTATGCATTGGGATAAGCCCGTACTTGTTACGGTTAGCGTACCTTCTACCTTATAGTTTTAAGAGCCAATCACAGTGCCCAGCGGCCGTCACCGCCTCCAGATTTGTCCCGGCAGAATAGTCCGCGAAATTCACCAATGTCCAGAAAACAAAAACTCCAATTTCTCCGGTTCTTCCATACACACTGCGATAATATGTAGGGTGCTCCTTCTTTGGCAGAAATGCCTTCAATAGATCCCCTAACTGCCACTAGTGCCTCGCTGCCTCCCTCTGCCATGCCGCTCATTTCTCCCAATGCACTTCTCTACGCCCATTTGAAGCAAAGCCCGCCTCGCCGCCCTTCAAACCGCATCCCTTCCGAACCACGACCTATCCAGCTCAACGTGGGCTCATTGACGCACTGTAATGGCTCTTCCTTGGTCAAGATCGGAGCGACGACAATAGTCTGTGGTATTCGCGCCGAAATTCTCTCTGCAAGCGAGATTCCCAGTTTTCGGGTCAGCAAATTCTCAGACAAAGACCGGACAACCTCACTGAGACGGAAGAATGAGGTGGATGACCATGAGGAAGAGGCAGAATACTCGGCCATTGAGCTGTACAACCTTCTCGTGCCAAACATCGAACTGGCCACGGGTTGCTCACCCAAACACCCTGCCAACACGGCTCCTTCAGTCGAAGCGCAGTCCATATCCCAACGCCTACTCTCATTGCTTCATACTTCGCAGCTCGTCAGAACCTCTGACCTCGAGATCACCTACACCCCACCTCCAGAATCCCAGGATCTAGAGCTAGGAATAGAGGCCGAAGTTCAGTTGAAGGCATACTGGACGCTTTACATCGACATGGTGTGTATCAGTCATGGCGGATCCATATTCGATGCCGCGTGGCTTGCTCTACATGCCGCATTGCGAAACTGTCTCATACCAAGGGCATGGTGGGATCCGGACTTGGGAAAAGTAAATTGCTCAATGGATGTGAAAGAAGCAAGGGCACTGCGACTAAGAGGAATGCCAGTACCCAGCAGTTGGGGTGTATTTGTGCCCGAAAAGAGACTGTTGACCATGCAAAATGACGAAGATCGGTATTGGATTCTTATGGACATGGACGCTCTTGAGGAAGAGTCTTGTGGGGAGAGCGGATGTATCACAGTGGATTGCAGTAACAGTGCTGATTTGGCATCGTTCTTGAGAATTGAAAAGAGCGGCGGCTCTGTGGTCGGTGTCGACCAGATTGCAGGAATGGCCGAATTTGCCAAGCGGCGATGGGAGCAGTGGAAAAATGTGCTGGAACATGCATTGGCTGCTTGAAGACTCGGTCTGGAGGACTTGGCGTGCGAATGGAAAATGATACCCAGGTTTATGTCGACATCGTATATTCACAGCGTTAAAGATCTGCAAGTGACCCAACCTTTTTCTGTATACAGAAGATAAAGATGACTTGGCAACCCAGACGTCGAGCAGCTATCGGATCCCCTCGCATGTCAGCAGAGAAAAGGCAAAGTCTTAGTGAGAAGATGCTGATTGGGGAAAACAGTAGCACCGAATCTTCACGGAAGTCTCCAGTCATGCCGTAAGTACTGATGGGGCAGTTGGGTTTCCAAATGGAAGAGTTGGGAGAGTTGGAAGAGATCAAGAAGAGGAGAGGCTGAGAGCGGTGGGGGACTTGTCACATGACATTGTCACATGGCATGAAGTCACATGACATGAATCTTCAATGGTATTTAGACCTATCAAGGAACAGCCTGCTTGGCACCAACTTCATTTGTACGGAGTTTTGGTTGAAACGCCAGCGTTCTTGAGTGAAGCTACGTAGCCCGGATAGCCCTCGGGATAGCTTCATACTATGTGACATGCAGTCCGAATTACCCACGACAAAGACCGGCCCCTCCCTTTCTCCCTTTAGAACCATTTGAATGCAGCCCTCTTCATGGCCCAGACCCTAGAGATATTCTCTCTCCTCGGTGTCGTCTGTGGCCGTCAACTTCTCTTTCAAATGTTTGAAAAGGGTTTTCGCAAACAAGGGCGGCACCGCATTGCCGATTTGCTTCAGCTTCTCCGACATGGATCCAGCAAAGACGAATGTTAGAGGAAAGGTCTGCAGACTCGCATACTCGCGGATGTTGAATCTTCGCAGACCACTGGGGTGGTAGTGATGGGGCTTGACCGATGTCATGATGGTTTTGCACAGCTCACTCCCCGCGTACGGAGGCTTTGGTGCCCGCATAAATGGCCTCTCTTTCTGGTGCCTTGCGTTCGCAGGAATCGAGTTGATGGCGCTGTTGATGGATGGAATTGGTTTAAGACCTGGTCCGTTGCCGTGGGTAGGTCGAACGAAAGCAGGAAGTTGCTCGCCTGGCCTGTGCCATTTTGATTAGCGAATCGGGCAACATGATAGCTCAAAAGAGGGTGAGTGAATTCTTCTCTGCTCACCCTGATGCAATTATAATTGCTCGGTTCCTCGTTTGCGGCACGCCGAACTTGGCCAGTTCCACAGCTTTCCACTGGACGCTGTACCCCTTTTCGATAAACCAAGAGATGAGATCACGAAAATGTTTCCTCTTATCAACATCCGTGAGGCTCTTTGCCTCCTCCAACGTGGCGATGCGAGGCTTGCAGACATCCAACAAGTCGCCGACTTTGGAGAACGCATTCATATTTTTCCTGTTGGCCTCTTCATTTGGACTTCGGTTTGCACCGCAGAACGGCTGGCAGGGAGGGCTCATATGCAGGAAGTCGACCTTGAAGCCATCCTCTGAAGCGCACGCACTCTTGATGAAGTCAGAGATATCGTTTAGCATGACCTGCGTACCGGTACACTCAAAGTTATGTCTGTAAGTCGCAATTGCTGTCAGGTCGAAGTCGACACCGAATTTGAACTTCAGGCCTGCCTCGAGAGCACCAGACGAAGTACCACCTGCACCGCAAAAGGCGTCTCCAAATGTGTATCTCCTGCTTTTCGAGTGTCCCACTCCACGCCATTGCCGGCGCACCTCTCGATTCGATATGCAGAACTCGATTTGCTGACCGTCTGGGGCGATCAAGGCACCATTGTCTGCCTGGCTTGAGTGTAGGTGTTCAATCCTGCCAGTGAGAGGTGGACCAGTTGGAACTCTCCCATCAATTCCCACATTGCAGTCGGCGCTCTTATAACGACAAAAGTAGATTGGTACGTCATTGAATGGTACGTTATTGTCGCTTCCTAAGTGTCTTCTAACGTGGTCTCGGTAGTTCAAGTCCCTGTACCGTTGACTGGTGAAGATGATTGTACATTTCCTGATCACTTGGGAAACCTTCACCGTTGACATGGTGGATTGAACACTTAAGTTCTCGTCGATCTTAACGAGCTGTACTAGCTCAAACGGCCGCTCGGGCATTAACAGCTCCAGGCGATTTTGATGCGAGAGTCTGTATCCTTTGATGAAGGGGCCGCCCTCGACAAACGGAAGGTATTCATCGATTCGCATAAAGGAATGGTCCGCCAACTCGACATCGCACCCGTGATGAAATCCCACTGGTCCATCAAACAATTGCCAAGCCCTGTTGATGTGGACGTCCCTTCGTGGTTTCTGGTTTCGGGGTTTTGAAACCTGTCGACTTCCCGTTATAACGAGATCTTCATCGTTGCCATTGTTGTTGTTGTCGTCGTCATCGTCCAAGACAATGACGTCCTTGTCATATAGTTCAGAGAGGTGATCTCGATAATAGGGATGGAAGCGCCCTCCGGGCGCGTCCGTTTCTGGCGGGCGCGCCTGCGCTTGGAGCAGACTGACTGGGGCTTGCAGGGCTGCCGTCCCTTTATGTGGAAGCATCTTGTCTTATTCCTTGCCCTGATGTCTGTGATGTTGCTGTCTTTCCAGACGGGCTTTTTCTTATCAAGACGAGAAAATGGTAGAAGGAGTGACAGAGACCAGGGTCAAGACAAGGCTGAATGGAATGGCGAACCGGGTGGACTGAGCGAATGTGAGGTCTGCGGAGAGCGAGGGGAGATATGACAGAAAGAAGAGAAAGAAGAAGCAGAAGACGAAGAAGATGAAGTCTCTCTCTCTCTGTGAGAAGACCAGTTTTCGCTGAATCTTGAATAAGAGGAGGCAGACGAAAGGATGAACAAGGAGGTGAAGGAGCAAGAGAAAAGACGTCTGAAGACAGTGCCTAAGGAGAGTATCTGAAGAGAGCGTCTGTGGAGAGCTTCTGAAGAGAGCGAAAGAGAAGCGATTGAATACGGACACAGCAAGTTCGAGCGCTGAATATTAAATGGCACACGCAGACCCAGGAGACTAAAAATCCGCCGAGAGGAAGCATGGCGACCAAACCAGCAGTTCTGAATGCGGTTCACTGGGCGCGACTCTTTACCTTCCCTCTTTGTAGGGGTCTTGGTTGGTTTTGAATATAATCAAAGGCCACGAGAGTCGTTCAGCTACTCCCATGGTTCAAACAAACACACCTTCGGGATCATGATTGAGACAACGATGTTTGTTGGTGTGCAACATGGGTTGCTTTTGTCTTAAGGCTTACGTGGTAGAGACACAGCGAGGGGGAGAGAAAACCAGATTACAAAAGACTTTGTTCAGCCGCCATCATTGTTCCCAACTCCGTTGTGTCTGAGATGATCATGGCTGATTTGTACTCTAAGCTGAAGGTCAATTCATGTTTGGGTCACGTGCGAGGCTCGAATGGAAAGGGGGGTCTTTTTCCACTGTTTGCCCTTCATGTTTGAAGAATGCTGAAACCGCCACAGCTACTGACGTTGTGAGAATGGGATTTGGACAAATGGAGAGAGTCAGCAAGCGCACGCTGTGTGGCGGGCAAGTCAGAAGAAGAGATCTACAACAAGTCTTGGTGTCCATAAAGGAAAGGGAGACATGGAGACTCATTGTTCTGTGTTTGCCTTTCAAGGTCATGCAAGTTGGAAACTGCTATTCAACCTCCCCCAGTCCCGTCGGCCCATTTGAGGAAGTGCTGCAGTTTCTTTGAGAGCTACCTGTCGTGCCTTACTGAAGCTGACCAGATCGCCGGCTCAAAGGGAGGTATTGAGAGTCTCTTGCTTCTTTTGCGGCAAGCAACCCTGGTCCATTTTGCGGTTTGACTGTGGAAGAGGGCTAGTACGAAGCAGGTAATAGTCGGGCTCATGCGAGAGGTCTTAGAAAATTCGTGGATATGTTTCCATACCTCCCGGATCATAATCAATCCCTCACTTGGGTATCTTTCAAACAACTCCCGCACCGACGGACGCTCCATCTGGCACCACAAAAGGCGTCTACAAAGCAATATACTTGATGCCAAGCCCAAATTACTCTTGGAATCTACCTTTGGCAAGGCACTTCAAAAAAAAAAAATCTTGTACTGCTTTTACGCGGAGCTTGTTCGCAACAACGAGGCTCTCGGACAGATCGCTTCATTCTGAACATCTTCACACTTTGTTCGAAGAGCCATGTCATATCCATTAGGTGATGCTATCCACACGCTCTCCATTGTCGTCCAAGTCGATGCTGCTGTGAGATGATTGGGGGGAGAACAGGCGCACGGCTGAGATTCCTAGACTGTGTGCGCATGGCTGAAGAGGGATGTAATAGTGTTTTCGCACGTCCTTGCAGCGCGAGGCATCGCTCTCCACATGGATCGAATAAGGCTCATTGGCAACAGGAGGAGGTTCATCACCAGACGAGGAGCCATTACGCATTGTCGAGTATGGACATTTCATGTCTAAGAGAGTCACTTTCTACGATTTCACGGCCTGTTGTTGCAGCCTATTGTGTAGCCTCGGATCCGAAAGTTTACCGAAGATTATCCGACGCTCTCGGCTCACCTTCTATCTATGGAAGTCCGGCAAATGGCGGGGCCTCGTCCCCTTCATCTCCAAGAAAAAAGAGTTTACACCAACTGCACCAACCACTGGCTACAGAATGCGGCAAAATGCCATGCATGCATCGCTCGCTAACCAAATCTCGCCGCTGACCAGAAAAAAAATAATGCCCGTCTCCAGCATGAAGCAGGAATTTCCCCTCTCAGAAGGCTCAGCATGTCGTCTCTTCGCCCGTCTCAATTAGGGAGGACCTCGCTCCAAGTTGGCATCTCCTGCGCCCTCTGGACTCACTTCATCCTGAGATCCGCTCTTGCTCGGTCCGAAGCGACGAACTACAACTGCTAGTCCTCGATTCTTCCCGATCATAAAACCCTGACTCGTGTGCTATCTTTCCTCAACCCTCCTGATCCTGCCAGTGTGCCGATTGTCATGTCATTCTAGGTATGTGAGAGCCTTTCCATCCCCGCCACGCCTGCAGGATGATCCCATTTTGTGTATTTTATTAGAT